CGAGTCAAGCTCTCTAAGTCCCCTGCAGAGTCGCCAGAAACTGTAGACGTCCCCGAACGCCCCAGGAGGGTGAGTCCCGTTCTGTTCATTTTTGGGGTCACCATAGCTCGGACTCTTAAATTGTCACGGTTCTTAATCTGAACCAAAGAGTCCAAATCCGGGAAATCGTTTTGAGAAACAAATTTTTTGAAAAGAAGTGCCAAACATGGACTGCTTTGCCAGATACAGAGTCGCCACCTAAATATTTTTTATGGGGGAATTTACAATGCAATAGATCGGTGCCAAATGCCACGTGTCCGTGACTCGATTTGTGTCACGGTTCTTAATCTGAACCAAAGAGTCCAAATCCGACAAATCGTTTTGAGAAACAGAGATTTTTGAAAGAAGTGCCAAACATGGACTGCTTTGCCAGATAGCCACCTAAATATTTTTTTTAATGGGAGAATTTAGGAAACCCTGACTCGGTGCCGAAGGCCACGTGTCCGTCGTTGCCAAAGTTGCCTCGGCTCGGGAGCTTGGGTACGATTGGGGAAGGTCAGCTATGAGCACCCCCTCTCGCCCGGTCTGAAGACCGGCCTCTACTAACCGTGATATCTAGTTTTGAAAACTCTATACGTTCTTATTCCAGTTATTAACCTAGATTTACTATGTGATGCGCACAGCATACAAGTATGGACTAGATTGCCCAATTTGGAAATAAACATTGCATATCCGTTTGTCTTAAAAAAAACATTTTGGAATTTGCTACTCGTAAGTAGGCTAAAACACGGATTTCAACGAGTTTTTCCAACTCAAACAACCCAACCTTCACCCACAGGCATTCAAACTGTTTATTACGTAAGCATTTAGCTGCATGGCAAGCATACTATCATGGCAACACTCACACGCATACGGGATGCTAAAGCATAAATACTTACATCGTACTCCGTGCCAAAACAATAAACTAGTTAGCCAACATGCATGGTCCTAGTTCATGTCAAATTGACTAATGCAACACATACAAGATGCACTTAGAGTAGGCTCGGCTAACCTAAACATGGCATGTGAAATGCAGTCAATTGATGCACTTATTCAATTTGGAATTGAAGTACAAATGTAGTTTGCATGATGTACCGAGCCCGGTGCATGCAAGGCAAATGTATGAATGCACGCATGCTAAGCATAAGGTATGCTAACTTAAACATGACCTAATACTAACCATCAAAAGCAGGTAAGTAAAAGGGAGAAAGAGATGGGGGTTGGAAGACATGCACACACACTCACCCACACTTATTACAAATTCGCCCTCGCCCGGAGGGACCGAAAGAATAATGCAAATCGAATAATGAATTAACTATCCTAGCTAATTAATTATTACAAATTACCTAATTAGTTAACAAACTAACTAAGCTAGGAAAAACAGTAAACCGCCTCGGGAAGAGAGCTCGACGCAATGCATGCTCGGTCCTGCTCAGAAGTACACTGCCATGCATAGGCTTCCTCTGTTTTCCCTGCTCTGCCTCTTTGAAAACTGCCAAAGTCTCAGGATTGCTTCCCTGGACATTGGGAGGCACCACCGGCTGAGTAGAATGTCCACCGGCAGTGGCATGTGTTCACCGGCTGTTGGTGAAGCTATCGACCCTGGAAAGATTGCCGGTCGGCACTTAGCACTGCCGGTCGGCAGAAAGTTCCTGCAGAATTTGCAATTGACAGCAACAGCAATTCAAGCAATGTATGCACCAACCATGTCCCTTATCATGTCGGTGAGTCAAAGGGATATGCTCCTTAGTTCTCGAACCATCAATCGCGCATTTCAATGCGTGATGGCCCACGGGACCAAGTGTGCACATTTTGATGTCAAATGCAATGCAAACCAACAATCGAACCAAGAGGCTTCTACCTCCATCATGAATTGGTCAAGAGGTGAAGCATGCATGCCAATGCAATGCAATCCTAAGCATAGGAGCTAGCATGCAATATGAGCATGCAAACAAGCAATGCGAAACATACATCAATCATGCAAGGCATAGACAACAATCATGCAAGACATGAGGCAAGCATGTTAATATCAAGCATGTGAGATGTGACCTAAATGTACAAATATGCAGGGCACGATGTGGGTGTTTAAACATGTAAACAAACATGTGGCTTCATTCAATCATGCAAGTTCAATTATGCAACAACTCGCCAATATGCTACAACATACAAGGAGTACATGCAACAAACAAAAGGATGGACTTAAACAAGATTTGGGCAGTCCTAACTAGGCCTAAAACAGTGGCCAAAGTGCTATGAAATAAGGGCTAAATGACATGCAAACATGCATGCACACAAGGACCAACACTTAAGCATTAAAGAGCAATTCTCAAGCACACTCAAGAAGGTGCACACATGGACAAATGACATGCATTAAGCTCTGAAAATCATGCGAGAACATGGTGCCAAACCAAGCAAGCAAGATAGGCTAAACATGCAACAAATGGCCCAAGCATTCAAAGCAAACTAATGAAGTATTGAACCACGCTTAGCAAGACCAAACATGGCATGAGTCAAAGGAGCTTGAACCATGACCAAGTCAACCAAGCCTCACAAGGCTAAGAGGACTTAAAACAGGTTCAAGACAGACCTAGACCATGCAAAGGGGGGGGGCCCGAGATGGCATCTAAGTGGCTCAAATTCAAAGGCATGTACAATGGCCAAAACATGGAACATACTACACAAGCTTTCAAAGCATTAAAGAGGTGTCCAAGGCAAGCATACAAGCATGTCAAAGGGACTGAAATTACATGACAAACGGTCCCAACCCACTAAATTAAGGCAAGGATGCATGCTATACATTCACACACTTAAGGCTAACAATCCAAAAATGCAAAGGGGCTATACAATGCATGCCATGGCCGACCCAAACAACTATGGACAGACCTCTAGCATGGTAAAATAGGCATAGAAGCTTCACAAAACTAGACCTAAAACAAGCTTGAACAAAGGTTTTCAACCTAAGGCATGTTAAGGTAATAAAGTGGCATTACAAGGTAGGTATGCTAAGCATGCATGGTGTATCAAAACCAACAATAAACAGAGGCATATTATGATATGATAGGCACAAAAAACAGCCAAGGCATGGTCAATATGAAGCTTAGCTAGATGCTCCCTGAAGAGGCCAAAAATGGTCCATTTCAAGGACAATAAGGAGAGGGGGTGGCCCTCTCCTTCTTGGGACCTCAAGGCACCATCCTCACCTCTGAAATCCCTCAAGATTTCAGTGGTGAGGAGGCCCAAACATCAAGGTCTCAGAGCTCACTCAAAATAGCACAAAATGGGGCCTTTCAAGGCCTAAGAGGGGTCAAACACCTCCAAACTACAAAACACTCTAAACAAACTATTTAGAGGGCCTAAAAACATAACTTTCTTATGTTATACACTAAGCTCAAAAACAATTTTAAGATGGGTAAAAATACAATACAAAAATGGGAAATAAATGGACTAGTTTCTTACCCTTGTTGACTTTCTTCACAAATGGTGGACCAGCTGGTTCTTCAAGCTCAAAACCACCCAAGAACACCAAGAACAACCTCTGGTTCTTCAAGGAACTAAGAAAAGGTGAAACACTATGTGTTTGTGTGCAATAGTAAGACACAAACACACTTAAACACACACAAAGGTAAAAAGAGAGAGAGGTATAGAGATAGAATGTGTATCAATCCTAACCCCAGAACTCAAAACCCTAATATGGCTGTCTAAAATCTCTAAAGTGTCTAACCCTAAGCAAGGGAGAGAAGAGCTCCTCTTATAGAGCTTATTGTCTTGTAAAGCTTACAAGACAAGCTTCTAAAGAGAGACATCTCTCCATACACATGTATGGAGGGGAGCCAAATGCAAGACAGATGTAATAAAATATCTTCCAAAGTAGATGAACAGTAGTCGGCTACCCAAAAATGCCATTTTGGCGAAATGGAGTGCCGACCGGCAACAAAGAATGCCGACCGGCAATATAGATTGCCGATGGCAGCAAAACACCAGCCGGTGGCCTCTGGCCATGGCCGGTGATGTGTGGGGATGCCTCACAAGGCATTCCCTGCCCCTCCAAGGCAAAACACAAGTGTTTGGTGCAAAACCAGACACTAAACAGTCAAGTTCGGAGATCTTGAAGCAAGGCGCGTAGCCGAGACCTCCGGGAACTCCAAACGAACACAAACAAGGGTAATCACCAAGTGTTCCAATGGTGACGTCCAAGTCTTGAGGATAGTCAAAAATGGGGTGTCTACAAGAGGCCATCCGACGCCAAGCCAGGGGAGTTTGCCCTTTATGAGGAAGGATTGAAGGGAGGACTGAGGCTGCCCCTGTCGCAAGTGGTGGTAGATGTCCTGAATTGTTTGGAGGTAACGCCGAGCCAACTAATGCCCAATGCGTGGAAGATCTTACTGGCCTGTGCAAGTGCGTGGCCGAAGGCGAACAAGGGGGCAGCCATGACAGTAGACAAATTCTTCGCATGTTACAAGGCCTGAGGGTAGCAAGAGACTTGGGTCACTCTGCAGGTAGCAGCAGGGAAAGGGCTGGTGACGGGGCTGCCGTCGTCAATCAAGGGGTGGAGACCACGGTGGTTCTATGTGTCTGCCAGTGGAGGGGAGTGCGCACCATTTGGAAAGTGCCCACCAAGTCTGTGGAGCCAAAGCTGGGAGCAGCAGTAGAGGAGAAAGGAATGGAGGGAGAAGGAAGGGGCCAGATGGGACGAGCTCGTTCAGCCGTCAGCTTTGTTTGAGGCAGGGTTGGGTCCACATCCGAGTGGTGGGGACCTTGACCGAACGGAGTTGGAGGCAAGAAGGAAGGCTCAAGAGGCAGAGGACCAAACCATCTTGGCCAAAGCCCAAAAATTCAAAGAGTCGCAGACAGACCAACCGCCACAGTTGGTTGCGAGGGAGAGGATCCGACCTCGCCCCAAACCCTTGGGGGAAAAAGACTTAAGTGAATTTGTGCCACGACCACCCCCAACAGATCCCTTGAAGGAGAGGACTTTGAAGGAGATGGAGGTGAGGGGCGTAGTGAAGAAGAAGAGGAGAGTGAGGAGAAGTGAAGAAGAGCCTGCCCTGAAGAGAAAGAGGGAACTGAGGGCAGAAGAGACCAGTGTGGCCAAAGAGGCAGAGAGGGGGGTAGCAGAGGAGACCCCAGGAAGGGTGGTCGTCCCAAAAGTGGTGGACATCGCGTCGGAGGGATGGACGTCGTCCCAGTAGTGGTGGGGATCGCCATAGAGGTAGCGGGGGCCGCCCCCGGAGTGCAAGTAGAAGGTGGGGCGACGGGCCCTGAGCCAAGGAGGGGAGAACAGCCCCAGGGGGGTCCTGCACCCTAAGGAGGGGGAGTCAATCTGACTACTGCGATCTACCACGCTCGTGCAGTGGCTGGGCGGCTGAAGAGAGAAGAAGGCCCAGCTAGGGCAGGGACAGACCGCCTTGTGGGGATTGTGGAAGAGGCAGCCTTGTGCTCAACAGCCAGATTCAATGAGGCTAAGCTGCTGAGGGGGTTATGCTCCTCTCAAATTGAGGTAACCACCTTAGCAGGGGCTCTGCTGATAAAGGCGGGGGCTGCAAAACTCAAGGTAGATGAGGCCAGGGCTCAACTTGCAAAGTTGAAGAAGGAGAGTGCAAGTTGGGAGAGTGCCCACGCTGATCAACAAACGGTCAAGGTGGAGCTGGAGAACACACGCCACCAGGTTGTGTCGCTCGAGTTCCAACTGGCTGGCGAGCAGAAGAGGTTGGATGAGGCCCAAAAAGCCTACGCGGTCGCTGTTGAACGACATGAAGAAGCGATGAGCAGTAATGAAGAGTTGGTCAGGCAGAAGGATGAGGCAGACGTGAAGATTGATAGTCTACAAAAGGAGCTGGAGGACAAGCGTGCTAAGGCAGTGGAGGAGAATGAGAGCCTTCAGAAGGAATTGGAAGCAGAGAGAGCCAAGGTGGCTGCTGAAAAAGAGAGCCTTCAGAAGGAGTTGGAGGTAGAGAAAGCCAAGGTAACTACTGAAAAGGAGAGCCTTCAGAAGGAGTTGGAGGCAGAGAAAGCAAAGGCAACTGCTGAAAGGGCGACCCTGGATAAGGAGTTGGCGGAGGAGAGGGCTAAGGCAGCCTCTGAAAAGGCGGCTTACCCCGATCTTTATGTGGCAGCAGTGGACCACAAAATCTGTTTTCTCAAAACGATTTGCCGGATTTGGACTCTTTGGTTCAGATTTAGAACCGTGACAATTTTTGAGTCCGAACTGTAGTGAGCCCAATATCGAACGGAACCCAATATCGAACGGAACGGGGGGGACTCGTTCCTCCCCGGGGGCGTTCGGGGACGTCTACAGTAGCTTAGCGAGGGAGGAGTCTGGGGAGGCGGGTCCGTCAAGGATGACTGTTGGAGGAAGGATTGAGGCAGAAGTGATTGAGAGCTTCCAGCAGTCAGACTTTTATAAGCACGAAATGGCTGAGTTCTGGGACAGTGGTTAGAAAATGTTCAAGCGTAAAGCTGAGGAGCTGTTCCCAGACTTGGACTTGAGTAGTGTGAAAATCGATGACGACGATGTGGGCCAGACCCCCCTTGATGAGGGCATTGAAGAAGAAGACCTTGTGTCCCGTGAAGAGGAGTAGTTTGAAGAAGAAGAAGAAGAAGAAAACCTTGCACAGACCTTGTGTGTTTGTGTTTGTTATTTTGTTTTGAATGGCTGTAATGAACTCATGTACAAATTTCTGAATAAATAAAATTGCAATTATGTTTTCATTTGATTGTCTGTGCCTGTGCAACTGAAATGAATGAGGCGTGGGCGAGGCATGTGTATAACTCATTGTGAAGTGCAAAGTGGAGTTAAACTTGTAATAAGAACTAAATTTAAGAACTCCTCAGTGTAGAGTGAAATTGAAGTTGTAATAAAAACTCAATGCAGGGTAAAGTTAGGAACTCCTCAATGCAGCGTGAAATTGAAGTTGTAATAAAAACTCAATGCAGGGTAAAGTTAGGAACTCCTCAATGCAGAGTGAAATTTAAAATGTAATAAAATTATAAGTTTGTGTTTGCCACACTACTGAAGTAGATTAGTGGTTTATTGGAGTGAGTCTTGGCTTGTAAGGAAACAGGCTGACTTGTAAGAGTTTGATTGAGAAGAAAATAGCCTGACTTGTAAAGAAAATGTGTAAGAACATCTTTGGAATTTGACTAAAGAGTGGTGTAAAGACTTGGACTTGGAATTGTGACTAAGTGTGTCTACTAATTCCACAAGCATGAAGTTTGCATAGATGGCTTTGACCGAGTCCTGCACGCGTGCTCAGTTGGGGCTAAGCTATGATTCACTGACGTTGTAAGGAACCCAGTCCGAACCTGAAATTGTAGCGTTCGGTCCGACTGAGACTTGTTATGCTTAGGCTGGCTGAGGCTTGGTCTGGCCGAGTGCTGCATGCTCAGTCTGGATGAGGCTTTTAATGCTCAGTCTGGCTGAGGCTTTTCGTGCTCGGTTTAGCTGAGGCTTTTTGTGCTCGGTCTGGCTGAGGCTTTTTGATGCTCAGTCTGGCTGAGGTTTTATGATGCTCAGTCTGGCTGAGGCTTTTTAGTGCTCAATCTGGCTGAGGCTTTTTGATGCTCGGTCTGGACGAGGCTTTTTGATGCTCAGTCTGGCTGAGGCTTTATGATGCTCAGTCTGGCTGAGGCTTTTTAGTGCTCAGTCTGGCTGAGGCTTTTTGATGCTCGGTCTGGACGAGGCTTTTTGATGCTCAGTCTGGCTGAGGCTTTATGATGCTCAGTCTGGCTGAGGCTTTTCATGAGTGCTGCAATCAAAACGTCATTGAAACACCATACAGATAACTGAGATATATAATTGTTGGCAGGGAAAGTGTAACCCAGTTAATCAAAAAGTTACATTGCGTGAGGAGATATCAAGAATGTGTAAATTTGCCGAAAAGAAAATACAATAACTGAGCAATACAAAAGTAGGAGCTTATTGAAAGTAACGTTTCAGGTGTTCGACATTCCATGGGTGGGGGAGGTCTCGACCTTCCATGTCCTGAAGTCGGTAAGTGCCCGGACGTGGTCGGGCCTTCACAACGTAAGGTCCCTCCCATTTGGGTGCCAGTTTACCCTCGGTCGGATTTTTGGTGGCAAGAGTTGCTTCTCTCAAGACAAGGTCCCCTACAGCGAACTCCCTTGGTCGGACTTTGCGGTTGTAGTGTGTTCTTATTTTCTGTTGGTATGAGGCCAGTCTGACAGCGGTGGACTCTCTGAGTTCTTCAATTAGGTCCAGGTCTGCCCGACGGAGCTCTTCGGTTAGTGCTGGATCCGGATGTAAAACCCTGGGAGTAGCCAGACCAACTTCTACTGGAATAACTGCCTCAGCGCCGTATGTTAAGCGGAAAGGGGTTTCCCCATTGGGAGTCCGAGCTGTAGTTCGGTAAGCCCAGAATACATTCTGTAGTTCCTCAGCCCAAAGTCCCTTAGCAGCTTCTAGCTTAGTTTTGATGATCTTTATGAGAGAATGGTTGGTGACCTTAACTTGGCCATTGGCCTGGGGATGACCGGGGGAAGAGAAACATGGTTGAATCTGGAGGTCGGCACAGAACTTCCTGTACTTGGCGTTGTCAAATTGTTTGCCGTTGTCAGAGATGATGGCCTGAGGGATGCCAAATCTGCAAACGATCGACTGCCAGATGAACTTGGTTGTGTTCCGCTCGGTGATGGTGGCAAGGGGTTCTGCCTCTACCCACTTGGTGAAGTAATCAATGGCGATAATCGCGAACTTGGTCTGGCCTCGGCCGGTGGGAAGTGGACCGACCATGTCGATCCCCCATTTGGCGAACGGATAAGGGCTACAAAGTGTGATCAACTCTGTAGGAGGAGCATGGGGGATGTTGGCAAAACGTTGACACTTATCACATTTGAGCACGAAATCAGTCGCATCTTGATTGAAAGTTGGCCAGAAATAACCAGTACGGAGTATTTTGTAGGCTAGAGACCTGCCGCCCGAATGATTACTACAAATTCCCTCATGGATTTCCCGCATTACATAGGTTGCTTGAACCGAATTGAGGCATCACTGGTATGGGCATGAAAAACCACGTTTGTATAAGACGCCACTGACTAGGATGTAATTGGACGACCGGGCCCAAACTTTGGCGGCCTGTTGTTGGTCATCTGGGAGTTCCCAAGTTGTCAAAAATAGGAAGATGTCGGACGCCCAAAGGATAGGTTTGTTTTGGAGGAACTGCACTTCTTGTAGGTCGGGTGAGATGGCCGGGTGGGCTAGGTATTCGAGGCGGACACCGTGGCTGAGGTCGGACTGGTTTGCAGAGGCTAACTGAGCCATCTCATCTACCTTGCAGTTTTCCGCCCGAGGTATGTACTTGATGTGGAAGGTATTGACGAGGCGAACAAGGGGGAGGGCCATATCCCTGTAAGCCCGCATTGTGTCCTCATTAGCATCGAATTCCCCCGTAATCTGGCCGACAATGAGCTGGGAGTCGCTGAACACCCAGATGTGGCTGACTCCAATGTCCTTGGCGAGGTGAAGTCCTTCTATTAATGCCTCACATTCGGTCTCATTGTTACAGGCATTAAACAAGAAACGGAGAGCACATTTGAAATAGCCACCCTCAGGGGCGGTGAGAATGAGGCCAGCCCCATTACCTTCCCTGCGGGATGATTCTTCGACGTTGAGAGTCCATGAATGTGGGTCTTCTGGCTCGGTAGGGGTTGGTGGGGGTGGAGGCGCAGCGGTTGGGGTAGGATTAGTGAATTCCAGGATGAAATCCGCGACAGTCTGTCCCTTAATTTCTGTTCGAGGCCGGTAAGAGATGTCAAACTGACTGAGTTCCACTGACCACTGCATGAGTCTGCCAGAAAGTTCTGGTTGTTGCATGACCTTCTTCAAGGGTTGGTCGGTGAGAACCACTATGCAATGGGCCTGGAAATAAGGACGGAGCCATCTGGAGCGGTGACCAAGGCCAAGGATAATTTTTCTAACAGCGGATAATTCTACTCTGCTCCCCTGAGAGCCTGACTGATGTAATAGACCGGCCGTTGGACAGAGTCGTCTTCCCTGATAAGAGCTACACTGACTACGGTGCTTGAGACGGCTAAATAGAGGAAGAGGGGCTCGCCCGTAATTGGTTATGAAAGGAGGGGGGCATTGGCCATGAACTGCTTCAACTGTTGAAAAGCCCCTTTAGATTCAGTTGTCCATTCAAAAGTTTGCCGAAGAACTTTGAAGAATGGTAGGCACTTATCTGTTGCTTGGGAAATGAAGCTGTTGAGGGCCGCAACTCGGCCAGTGAGCCTTTAAACCTCCTTAACCATTCTGGGTGAGTGCATCTCAATCAAGGCCTTGATCTTTTTAGGGTTAGCTTCAATGTCCCGCTGACTGACCATAAAACCCAGAAACTTCCCAGATCCTACGCCGAAGGCGCACTTTTCTGGGTTGAGCTTCATTTGGTACTTGCGTAGGGTGGCGAAAGTGCTTCATTTGGTACTTGCGTAGGGTGGCGAAAGTCTCTCACAGGTCGGACAGATGATCAATAGAGAGTTTGATCTTGACTAACATGTCGTCGACATATACTTCCATATTCCAACCTATCTGATGATGAAAAACGGCATTAACCAACCGTTGGTAGGTGGCCCCAGCATTCTTCAGTCTGAATGGCATCACACGGTAGTGGTAGGTACCTCGGTCGGTAATGAAGGATGAATGTTCCCGATCGGACGGGTGCATCAGGATTTGGTTGTACCCAGAGAAAGCATCCATGAAGCTGAGCATTTGATGATCGGCCGTGGCGTTGACCAGCAGATCTATGCGGGGAAGAGGATAGCTGTTTTTGGGGCAAGCTCGGTTTAGGTCAGAGTAATCGACACAGAGTCGCCATTTGCCATTGTTCTTGCGAACTAGGACCACTGTAGACACCCCATTTTTGACCGATCTTAAGACTCAGACATCACCGATTGAGCTCTCGGTGATGTTGCATATTGTGCTCGTTCAGAGGTCGCGGAGTCTCGGCCGTGAGCCTTGCCTCCGAACTTCCGGACTCTTTTGTGCTTTGCCTTGGTTTGCGAACCAGGTCCCGTTTTCTCCGTCTTCTCTTCCCGAAGGGAGGGAGAGGTCTCGTAGATCATCTCTTAGTGGCCGTAGGCTATGTTTCGTGGTCGTAGGCCGTTTTTCCCGTTTCGGAGCCTGGTTCCCGGTTTTCGGAACCGTCGGCCGTGTGCCTCGGTTCGGGACCGCTTAACCACCTCTGTTTGCTCCAGTTTTTGGTATACACCCCACCACCATCCATTCCAACGACTTGGAGCTGTTTTTCAAAGCTTAGGAGCACCATTTCTCAGACCAAGAGCTGCTGGTCCATTGGTCTTCAAGGGTAAGCTTCTTTTCCTCTTTTTTGTTCCTATCTTGCTCTATATCTAAGCCTTTCTTGCAAGCATTTTTGGGCTCCGACCCAAACTATAAATAGTCATATTTTGAGCTCCTTTTCATATTTGATTAAGGACCTTTTTCTGTTTGAGGTCTCCTATTATCGCTTGCCTCTTTAACTCTCTTTTAGGCCTATTTTTGCATGGTATTTTAGGCTTATTTGTGAGCTATTTCGTAGCTTGATGTAAACTGTAAAGTGTCTTGTTT